ATTCCATTTTCACTTGTTCATTGTGAAGAAATACCTTTGCTATTTGGTGTTCTTTTTGTCAAGGATTGTTTAATTCTACAAACTATTTGTTAGAAATCTTTAAAAGGCATTGTAAAGGAGGCAAATAACATTTGAGAACAGCGAGATTAATTTCCTGTTCAAGCGTCCATTGATATACTTTTATATGTTCTTCTCCATTGCCAATTTCGTGTTCAAGCCTCCATTGATATACTTTTATAATTTTCTTCTCCATTGCCATTATTTTTTCAACACCTTGTTCATGTGTTTATGGCTTCTCGTAGTTTTTGAGGATCTTGTTGCTCTAAATCTTTCGGTGTTTCTATTTTCAGTGATACGATGGTGGATGCAGGGTGATAATGTTTGGTGCATGACTTGTTATAGATTTTAAGTATGTCTTCTAATATTTATTATCAGTAATTTTTATTAACATAGTCGAGTATATTGATATTATCTTGTGGACGTGTTCATGTTGACATCGCCTGCTATTGTTGCTAATGATCTAGTAATGAATTGAAAGGAGTAGCGGAAGGTTTTAAATAATCGACTCTAAATTTATTGAAAACGAAGCTAATTTGTTGTGGTATGTTGTGTCCTTTATGAAATAGGTCAATATAAACAACCTATTTTGTTTTGCATCAAAGGCTACATTGATGGCATTTTTTATTTATTTATGGAGGCACCTTAGAAATCTCAACAATCACCAATAAAAACAGTTGAGGAATGTAATATTTTGAGAGGTGGGACATGGGTATGGAGACAGATAGGTAGGTTAATACCATAGATTCTTCTCTATTTCCTTTAGGGTCCATTTGATAGCAAATGTGGAAAAAGTAAACCAATTCCATGTAATTTGGAAAAGAAAAAACCACCAAAACCATAAGAATTTGATTACCATAGAATTGGGCAAAAAATGCTTTAAGTGTTTGTACATTAGAATTCGAGCTCCATTCCACTTACGTATCAAACAGTTAAGGTAGAAAAGGAATTCCTCGGATGTGACATTTTTCATGGAATACGACGCTATCAAGCGAACCCTTATATTATGTTTGGTACACTTAAAGGCGACAACTTTAGAAAATATCAAAAAAGAAAAAAAAATACCTAATATTGTCGAATATTATGTAACACATATGCATCAAGAAAATATAGAAGTTGGAGCGTCTTTTATTTTAGACGACCCTTAATGTGAAATTAGTTGTATAGATTATTAATTAATGCAATAATTTGTGGGATTACTTACACAATGGGGAACGCTAGATTTAGCCGGCTCAAGACTTTCGGGCCTTAGGAGAAAGTTTTGGATGGGCCTTTTCAAGAATAATATTTTTTTTTTTCCCAAAAAAAGTAATACTAATCTCTACTTGGATATTCTATCATTTCATTAAACACTCCTCTAACAACATTGTGCAAATTTTCAATTCACAAACTTGTAATGAACAACGTCCGGCTCTATATGAACAATATTTTTCTTGCCTCTTGACATTTAAAATCTCTTCTAATGAAACATGTGTAATGGACATAATATTTAATTCATTCATTATTTCTTGAGGCACTGTTGACGTCAAAATACGATTTTATTTACTTCAATTTTGAAAAACTCCTTTCTACATTAGCCAGTGTAATTGGGGTCGAGAACAATGTTCGCTCATTCGAAAAAGAATAGAGTCTTTTTAAATACTCACTTTACAGTCATCACTAGTTAAGTAAAAATATCAACATAAAATCAAGGTTGAAAGCCAAGGAAGAAATTCTAATTTGACAAGAATTGTTCAGAATTGATGCTTTTTTATTATAATTCTGTCTGTGGGATTCTCAAGAATGGAAGCCAGAAGAAATGGGGCAAGATAGGGAAGAGCAAACGTCTTTGATTTTGATTTTTAAGCTTGAACTTGCCAATTAACCAAAAGAAACGAGACAGCCATATTAAAGAGCAATGAAATATTGACATATATTATGAACATCTCTTGCATTATCTAACCCTAATGTTCTTGAGTTTGGGTTAGAATATCATGAGACAGTTTGATCCATATCGAGCATTAAGAGGACCTTTTCTTAATATGAGTAGATTCAACTCTACTTTATTTCGATTGATACTTTTAACCCTCAATTATCCCTTTTCTTTTAAATCTATGCTCAATTTGAGTTTAAAAATATTATACAGAGAGTTAAAAGGTTTTACATTTCAGGCTTACACAGTTTTTAGTTTCTTGTAATGTGTGTAATACATTGTATTAAGCCCTTGTTTAAGCTCCATTATTTGATAAAAATAGACTTGGAATAGATGTACGCGGTTAAAAAGTAGGAAAAAATTTTAAATTTATGTGTAAAATTATTTTATTAAGACAATATGTGATTGAAAATGAGTTTGAAAAAAAATTGTATTATCGAGTTAAGAGTGCGTTTGATTGCAAGTATGAAATTTGCATGGAAAGAAAATAAATTATAGGTAATTCAATTACGTATAACTTATTTGCATGAAAATTGTCAATTAAGGCCCTATTTGAACCCCATTAAAATGAAAAATATGATCTTTATTCATCATATTAAGTCACCATATTTGACTTTTTATCTTTTGTGCGGAGCTCATAACGATTATATTTTTTATTCTCATTTTTAGAATAATGTGACTCAAACAGGGGCTAAATGTGTATGATTGATTTAATTTTCAACTTTGAAAATATTATAATTGTCCGTTTTTATTTGTGGGTAGATGAGAGAAAGTGAAAACTCTGGAAGATTAAATCATACTCCTTCTACAGAAAATATTTTCCTTGATTTTGAAGAAATACGTGACTAAAAGTAAGAAAATATTTTTCATAGAAAAAATGTCAATTAAACAATACAAAAGTAAAAATTTGAATAGAAAAAGCACATTCTTCATAAAAAAAATATTGGTAATCAAACACAGCTGAAGCTTAAACAAGGCTAGATATTAATTTCAAAAACGGAAGAGGACATATCTGTCGTTTCAGCTAATGGATGGCATAAATAGTAACGCGTTTTCAATATAAAAAATGGAAAATAGAGAGAATGTATTCTATCCACTAAAACGCTAATTGTACGGAAAGCTTGGACATAATAAAATGGGGAAATTGCATCATTAGCTTCTCATTTAGTGTTCGAGCAACAAATTAGTACAAAAATTAGACTTTAAAAACGGAAACCGTCTAAATTTCCGTTAAATGGTACTTGTGAAATATGCTTCTTTTAGATTATGAAAGATGGAAACAAATTTAACTTCACGTAGTTTGACACGACAAAGCTGAAAGTGCTCTTGCAAAGGCGTTTGAAATTAGGATTTGTTTGATTGCAAAGGTGAAAAAAGCAAACCAAATTCATGTAAGTTGAAAAAGAAAAAATCACTAAAACCACAAGAATTCGACCAATTGGTCAAAAATATGCTTTAAATATTTGTATCTTGAAATTCGAATTATATTTTTCATTTTTGTATCAAATATTCAAAGTAGAAAACGAATTCTTCAAATGTGACATTTTCTATGAAATTTTATGCTATCGAACGGACCCTTAGTGAAAAGTGACTATTTTAAGGTTAAATCTTCTTTATGAATACTCATTGCTGCTGACAGCAAGAATTTATTGAATTGTTTAGTTTCCACCACCGTTTAATTCTTGAGCAGTCGACGACGGAGGTTTTAGAGATGTTGGTCATGGCGGAGAGAGATTCATCACCGGAGTTCAAGGCTTCTTGAATAGCAAAATATTTGACAAGGTAAAATAATTTTTTTATGAAATTACAAATACCTTTGAAAATTCGACACAACCAAACATTCTCAAAAATAAAACATTGAGCCCTTGTTTGAGCCCAATTCTTCGAAAAAATGCATTCTTAAACAGTATTNATGAATACTCATTGCTGCTGACAGCAAGAATTTATTGAATTGTTTAGTTTCCACCACCGTTTAATTCTTGAGCAGTCGACGACAGAGGTTTTAGAGATGTTGGTCATGGCGGAGAGAGATTCATTACCGGAGTTCAAGGCTTCTTGAATAGCAAAATATTTGACAAGGTAAAATAATTTTTTTATGAAATTACAAATACCTTTGAAAATTCGGCACAACCAAACATTCTCAAAAATAAAACATTGAGCCCTTGTTTGAGCCCAATTCTTCGAAAAAATGCATTCTTAAACAGTATTTCGAAATCATTTTAATCACATATTTTTCAAAAAACAATATTCACTCAAATTCAATTTTTTTCATATTTTTTAACCACACTTCACATCAATACATTTATTCAAAAATGTATTTTTATGACAAAAATGGGGCCCAAAAAAGGGCTAAAGAGTAGAAAAACCTTGATTATCACTCTTAATCAAGGTTAAAAAAAAATTAATTAAAAGACAACAATTGTTTTTAAAAAAAAAAAAACAAACAAACAAACAAGGGTGAACCGGTTGACTTTCGAGATGAATGAACAAGTTTTGAGGTCATTTTAACAGGTCTTAAAATTCAATTAATTATAATATATCGACAAATAGAATTCAATTTTTTGTTAAATTGTCGGGTGGTCCACTTAAAATTTTTATACGACGACGAAAGTTGGAAAACAAAATTTAACTTTGTAAAGACTGAATTGACTGCAAATAATAATGAAAATATATATACCAATTTGCTCCTCAAGCAATAAGTTAAGGACCAATATTGAAATTTTCCAGAATACAAATTTTGAAAAAATAACACTTGAATAAGAGAGAGAAAAGAAAGAAATGTCTTTCTCGCTCATCTGCAGCGATATTATTACGACAATTTGAAAGCCTTCTTTCTCTCTCAGCTCGGGATGAATAAATTCATCGGTTACAGTGTATACACACAGTACATTAGTTGTAACAATGTATTAGTTTTTGTACGTACCTAGTACGTAGAGGTAGGAAGGACTATTATTACGTGGTGGGGTGGGGTGGGGTGGGGTGGCGTGGCGTGGGGTTGCGTGGCTAATGATCTTTTTTCTCAATCTTCTCTTTAATTACATACACCTTCCACCCCAGATTTCTCTTCATATTGCTGCACATCTGGGTACACGATTTTCTGTGCGTTACAGTGTCCAAAAGAAATACGGCCAGTGGCTTCAACTTTCAAATTTTTCATTTGTTGTTACAGTAGTAATCTTGTTATTTATGATTTTTTGACTCTTCTTTTTATTTTTCATGTAATCTGTTATTTGATTTTCTTATTATAGTAACCTCAGTTATTACTATAATATTATGGGAATACTCGATTTGCCAGAGTTTCTTGGATACAAGTACTGTCAGTATTATTACCAACTTTATTATGTGCACCAGAGGTTTTGGTAAGGCTAGCTAGTCATCAAGGAATGGATTTTGGCGCCGGAGGTGACGATTTCAGCGGCGGAGACCACCGTGATGACTCCGACCGGAGGAAAAAGCGTTATCATCGGCACACTGCCTACCAAATTCAAAGACTCGAAGGGTAAGGCCTTTCTATTATTTTAGCAATCCCATGCATATTTGATATTGCCTTTGCTTGTAAAAGGATTGTCTCGTCGATTCATAAGCACCTTGAGAACCTTCTCCTCGCAAACCCGTTCTAGTGTGAGCTGCACGGTCATAGATTACTCCACTATTTTTGACATTTATTTATTTATTTATTTATTTTTTTCTTTTGCTAAATGAAGAACGTTCAAAGAATGTCCCCACCCAGATGAGAAAACAAGAACGCAGTTAAGCAGAGAATTGGGCTTGGCTCCTCGCCAAATTAAGTTTTGGTTCCAAAATAGAAGGACTCAAATGAAGGTTCTCTCTTTCTTTTCTTGTACTTCAATTTTATTTGTACAAGGATAAAAAGCAGTTTCTAGCTCGTCTAATCATCCTCTACTATAATCTGTGTAGATATTTTGCTTGTATTCCCCTTCCCTAGTATGTTAAAACAGTGTATTCTGTGGCGGTTTTAGGCACAATATGAAAGATCAGATAATTGTGTACTTCGGTCAGAGAATGACAAAATTAGGTGTGTAAACGTAACAATCAGAGAGGCACTCAAGAATGTGATATGCCCTTCTTGTGGAGGGCCTCCAGTTTCAGAAGATCCATACTTGGACGAGCAAAAACTGCGAATGGAAAATATCCAGTTGAAAGACGAGGTTTATCACCTTTTTTGCAGTTTTAATTCGATCTTGAAAATCGATGATTATTTAGTCCTTTACCAACTGTTTGCTAACATTAGTTGTATTGCTTATTTGCAGCTTGACAGAGTTTCCACCGTTGCTGCCAAGTACATAGGCCGGCCTATTTCACAACTTCCACCTGTGCAGCCTTTTCATGTATCGTCATTAGATTTATCCATGTCGAGTTATGGAGGGCCCGGAATGGCTGGCCCTTCGCTTGATCTTGATCTTCTTCCAGGAAGCTTGACCGGTTCTTTACAGAAGTTACTTTTCCCAAAAATGAGCATTTCGGATATGGATAAATCCCTCATGGCTGATGTTGCTGGCAATGCAATGGATGAATTGATTAGGCTTTTGCAAACCAATGAACCACTTTGGATGAAATCAGCTGATGGAAGAGAAGTTCTTAATCTGGAAAGCTATGAGAGAATTTTCCCCAGGCCTAATACTCACTTGAAAAATCCCAATATTCGGATTGAAGCTTCAAGAGATTCTGGTGTTGTGATAATGAATGGCTTGGCATTGGTCGATATGCTTATGGACACGGTGAGTTTTTCTTAATCTTTCTTTTTCGTTGCATTTACCATTTGTGTACTTTACTCGTACTTTCTTATATTCTTTGTTTGCTTAATAACAGAGTAAATGGATGGAATTATTTCCTACAATCGTTTCAAGGGCAATAACAATTGACGTAATATCACCAGGAATGCTGGGAAGTCAAATTGGCACATTGCAATTGGTAATATGCAAAAATTTTCTTTTGCAGTTTTCTTGGAGAGTTTTGTTTACAGTTTTTTTAAGTGAATTACTATTTTGGCAGATGTATGAAGAGTTGCAGGTGCTTTCACCTTTGGTGCCGACTAGGCAGATATATTTCCTCCGATTCTGTCAGCAAATTGAACAAGGTGCATGGGTTATTGTCGATGTTTCATATGATCTTCCCCATCAGGAGAAGCAATTTGCTTCTTCAAGTAAAGCTCACAGGCTTCCTTCTGGATGCTTGATACAAGACATGCCAAATGGTTATTCCAAGGTTGAAATTGATTACATTTCTATCCCTATCTAGTTTTGTAATATAGGAAGCAATACGAACTTTAATATTCAACAATTCTGTTCTACAAATAATAGGTTACTTGGGTGGAAAACTGGGAAATAGAAGATAGAGCCCCAATTCATAGGCTTTATAGAGATCTTATTCACAGTGGATTGGCATTTGGAGCAGAAAGATGGCTTTCCACTCTTCAAAGGATATGTGAAAGATTTGCATGTCTTATGGTTACTGGCAATTCAACTCGTGACATTGGAGGAGGCAATTCTCAACTTTTTTACTTGGATTCCAAAATTATGTTCAAAGTGTTTACGTTTTACTAATTTTCATTATGCATATAATAAATTTACAGTAATTCCATCGCCTGAAGGGAAAAGAAGCATGATGAAACTTGCCCAGAGGATGGTCAATAACTTCTGTGTGAGTATCAACCCGTCTAATGGTGAACAATGGACGACAGTTTCAGGGTCGAACGAGTTTGAAGTGCGTGCGGCACTTCATAAGAGCACCGATCCTGGCCAGCCTAATGCTGTGGTACTCAGTGCAGCCACTACAATTTGGCTTCCAATTTCTGCACAACACATCTTCAATTTCTTCAGGGACGAGAGGACTCGACCTCAGGTGAGAATTGAACTTTATACGAGCATCATCTTATTTTTTTCCTTTTGCTTTTACGCAAGACAAAGTTGTTTTATATTTCCATATTGTTTATAAACACAGTGGGATGTTCTTTCCAATCAAAATCCTGTTCAAGAAATTGCTCACATTGCAAATGGTGCTCATCCAGGGAATTGTATCTCTGTTCTTCGGGTAAAATTCCTCTCCATAATCGTCATAGTCATTTGCATTTTTCTAGAGCGGCAAAATTTTTATTTTTTTGGCGTACAGCAAGACATATAGCACATGCTTGATATTAGGACTCGACAAAACATGCCAGTTTTGGTTAACTGATACTTAAATCCATGTATTGATCAATTTCATAAACCAGGCTCTCCACAATAACCAAAACATGCTTATACTTCAAGAATGTTGCATCGACTCATCGGGTTCACTAGTCGTGTACGGCCCGGTGGATTTTCAGTCCATAAACATAGTGATGAGTGGGGCCGACCCTTCGTGCATTGAATTGTTGCCTTCCGGGTTCGCCATCTCACCGGACGGTAGACCAAACGACCAATTTCAAGCCAGAGGAAGTGACCATGGAGCCTCAACCAGTTTGAACACTAATATTGGTGATGGTTCATCAGGTTCACTTATCACAATAGTGTTTCAAATCCTAGTGAGCAGCTTAACATCGGCCAAAATGAGCCAGGAATCAGTTACCACAGTTACTAACCTTATCAGCAGCACCGTCCACCAAATTAAAGCTGCCATGAATTGCATTACTTCTTGATAGTAGGATTAGATAGTACCGAACATTATATGGTTCGATATTGTCTGATACTACGTACCAAACTTGCACTTATTTGTGTTGATGGTAAAAAAATAGAGAAAGGAAACCATATTGGTTAGTTGGGGAATTTGAATGCTTCTACCATCAATGGCTGAAGGTCACTGACTTATTACTCAATGCATATAATCCTGCTACTGTGCTGCTGTCAACTGCTGTTTTTGCTGCCAAGCCTCATTATAATTCACAACCACCGCAGGTTGTCATTTTTTAGCCAAGTTTTTTTGGGTGTTCCTTTTTTTTTTTTTTTTTTGAGAATTTTCAACATTTGTTTCACTTAAACACGAAGTCAAGACTCAAGAACGCACTATACGTTGCTTTCCTGCGCTATATTCTGTTTCCTTTTTTTAACATTGGTTCGGGTATTGACTTTGTTTATACATGGAAAATTGCAGCATGGGACCCAAATTTATTGCTTTAGCAGGTAGTAGGTAATCGCAGTTTTATTATTGTTACTTAGGTATGCTTACAATGCACGTTTATAATTTTATAATATGTGGTCATGTGAAAATAAATTTTGTTTCTGTTGTGAAAAGAGAAGAAAATAGGGAGAAGTCAATAGACGTGTGTATTTTATTAAGAACCAAAACCTTCTATTTATAGGGCAGAATTAGGGGTACAACGGTAATAATTTTTATGGCTACAGGGGTATAATTGTCATTCACCAATAAACCCTAATGAACTTTCCTTTTTACAACACTCCCCCTTCAATGACACATTATAAAATATCTATCTCATTGAAACATTAATTAGCAAAAACCCAATGGAACAAAAATGCCAACAGAAAGCGTAAAAATAATTTGGAGTAATAAAATGCTGCCTCGTTAAAACCTTGTCAAGAAAACCCAGTAGGATAAAACTTGATTGAAGGAAAAAGAGTACAACTACTCTCCCTAATTTCAATTCTTGTATTAATTCATCATTGCCATGTACGTCACTATCTTCAATATTGCAATTTTGGTGAAATGCCTCATGTTGTTTTGTACAATCTTCAAATAACACCGTCTTCGTAAGGGATACTTTATCATTCTTTGATAACTGTAGTAACATGATAATTCGAAAAATAACTCTTGTTGATTTCTTCAAAAGTCTCATACATATAATGTATTATTTTTAGGATAAATGTCTTGCATGTTTTAGACATTAATTACACGAAGAATATGCCTCATTAAAACCTTATTAGGAAAAACATTGTGGGAAAAAATCCTAATGAAGGAAAAAAGAGTACACTATTCTTTTGAATACGTTATAAAAGTTGCCTCATTAAAAACCTTGTCAGGAAAATCCAATTGGATAAAACCTTAGTCAGGGGAAAAAGAGTACAACGCGTATTTACTCCCCCTCATGATAATATCACTTGAATTATGCTTCAGGCATATTCAATCATTTCAGAATGGTATCAAAATAATACAATATAAATTATCTATAATCATATTTATTATATGCACATCAAATTTCATGCATTATCACACTAACAAGGTAAATACTTATGATTACATCCACCACATGATAACTAATCTATGTATACAAGTGTTCACGAAATTCATTATGTAAAAAATCGTACATTTCACATTACGACTTTACCTTTTCTATTTTCATTTCGCACAAGTATACACCTCTTAGTGTTTGAACTGTATATCCAGAAACTTCAGGTTTCTCTAGTAAGTTCAATTTTACTAGGATTGTGTCCATTTTATTTGGCCAATCATTATTTCGATTTATATATTTCAATGAATTTATTTTGATTTCTCGCTATATGATGTAGCATACCATGTGTTAAACTATTGTCGACAACCTTTTCTTTTTTTTTCGACTCTATTTCTTTCTCCATGATGACATAACTTATTCAGATATCTCAACTTTCAATATATCATGTACCTGAACCTCTTCTGGGGTTTTATAATTTGTTATGTCTAAATACTCATTAAGAGTATATGCCTCCTTAATGAAATCATCTTTGTTAATTGCTCCATTTTCATTTGAAGATTTTTGTATGAGAATCGAACACAACCACGCTTCAGGCTTGCCATAGATATATCAAATATAATGCTAACAAATTGTCCCTTCAAACATCAATTCGTATTGGAGCATTAAAAATTGGTGTGTGAGATATTGTTGATCTCTTTGATCAATAAATACATCTAAATAAATTTTCTTTCAAACTTCTGGTTCGAATGATATTTAGCGAGGATTTAGATGATGATGCATTTATACATTATTTTTCACTTTTTAATTTCTCCCCTAAAGCTGAAATAATTGTCAAATTAAATTGACAAATATTTTTACTGCATTATAAAATATCATCATTTGTAATAAGGGTTCATACTACGTATTTATTCTCAGCATTCATCACTTTCCATCTCAGTGCATTGTAGTGTATCAATTTTATACATACTGCACTATCAAAATAATTAGATGAAAAATTTATGCTCTGACCATAAGCCAATTTTAATGGGGAGAACTATGATATTGACAAGATACGTAATAACATTCCCTAAACGGAAATGGAAAATATATTTTTCTCAATTAAATTAATTGGACGCGTTTAACAAACAAGTTTGTTAAATCATTTATCGACATCTCAAAAAGCACTAATTAAAATGTTGAGATTTATACCCACTAGCATTAACAAGACACAGTTTTGATTATTTAATTTGAAAATTATGCTCATACTTTAAAATTTGAGCAATAATTTCGAAAACTTCAGATTGCGAATACCATGCAATCATCTAGTATTTGTATCAAATTTATTATATGCAAATAATATTTAGATGATCAACGTGATGGGTGACGGGGCCCCATATATCACCCTAATTAATTTTCAGATATATAGGAAATTCAATCCCAATTTTAGCTAGTGGCCTTTAATGATCAATTGTCGATAATGAGAACAAATGATACATAGAAATTTATAGGATTGAAGAATCTTCTAGTTCTTCATTTTGATTTCGCATCATTGTTGTCCAGTGATGGTCCAACTGCTCATGTCAATCAAATTAAACTTCTGGTTCAATATAAGATATAATCCAATTATTTAATTTCGAAGAATATGATTAAATATTATATAATCATATTATGATCAATGTTCACGTGACATAAGTCGTATGTTTTCCTCAAGGGATAAACAAATTCAAAATGATACATTCTTCGAAAATGTGCTACTTCGAGAGCACATTAACATGAATTATTGCTTTTTCAAGAGCAATACATAAATATTTTTCTGAAATATTGATATATATCTAGTTATGATTATTTACAAATGATGGAATAATATTTTTTAGGAATATTGACACATTTAAATTAATTATAACATTTTTCTAAAATATTAATATGCATAAATTTGTGCTTCTTTAGGAACACAATACTATATTTTTCAAGAATACTAGTTTATATTATTTTTACTTATTTTGGAACGATATATCAATATTTTTCTTAAAAATATTGAAATTATAATGACGTGCTCTTCAATAGCATATCATTCTTTGAGAATATTGAAATACCAAATAGTATGCTCTTCTAGAGCGATAAATCAATATCCTTCTCGAATATTAATAAAATAAGGAAATTGTTTTCCTTTTAAAAATTACAGTCAGTATTGAATTATTTGTGTTTCTTCAAGAACACAACGAAATATAATTCTTCAAAATGTGTGCTACCTCAAGGGCACGTCGTGTTTTATTATTATTTCTTTAAAAGTAATATATCAATATTCTTCTGTAATATTGAAAGTTATACAAGAATTTACTCTTCAGGAGTAAAAACACAATTTTTGAATTATGCTCTTCAGGAGGAAGTAAAATATAACTAGAACATTAATAATGTGCTGATTCAAGAGCAAAAATATTTTATAGTAGATAAATATACGAGTATTAAAATCATGTATTATAAGGGTAAGAACGAGATAATTAATCAAACGATAAACAATAGTAATGGACATTTAGCGATAAACCTAATTTAATAAATGGCACTTATACAATCACAAACCGCAATAATTAAGTGCCCACTTTGTTTAATATAAACTTAAAATTTGTCACCAAAATTTAACTAGATACCATGACATAATTATGCATACATATACGCGTAAAATTAATATTACCTTCTATCGAATATGAAGATGAATTGTAAATTTACGCAGACATCATTGTCTCAATACCTCCAAAAATGGGACAGGAAGGAATTGATGATAAATTTGGGTGGCTACAAACTTGGATATCAATCATTAACCATGAAGGAGAATTGCACACGTGGTGGTTACATATCTTGGGAATGGTCAGGCACATAATTTAGATGAATATGTCTATTAATAATATCATGCTCTTCTAGAGCAATTAATATTCTTTTGGAATATTTTTATAACGTGGGTTGTGTTTCTCCGAGAATATCAATACTATATTTATTTAAAATAAATATAATTTAAGTTATACTTCTTCAGAAGCATTGAGTCAATATTCTTCTGGAATATTGAAATTGTAATATCATGCACTTCTGGAGTAATTAATATTCTTTTAGAATATTAATAATGCCGTGCTATTTCAGGAGTACCAACAAACTCTTGTTTAAAAATATTAACTCTATAGGAGTATGTTATCATTATAATATATTTATCTGTATGAAGATCTACTCTTCAGGAGCAATAAACATAATATTCTTTTGAAATATTAATAATAATGTTGTGCTACTTCAGGAGCAACAACAAAATATTTGTAATAAATATATTTATGATTAATATTCTTTTGGGATATTAAAAAAACATTGTTCACGTAATGTTGTGCTACTTCAGGAGCTACAACAAGATACTCATCTATGATATCGATCTAAGAAATTTCTCAAATCAGGAAATAAACTGAATTTTATAAAATCCACTATTTGAGAGATAGAGTAAATATTACTGTTACGCCTATGAATTATCACTCCATATTGGGCCACCTTATTGGACCCGAGCCAGGCCCATTAGTGTTGGGCCTCAAATCCGAGGCTACGTGCTATTTCAGGAGTACCAACAAACTCTTGTTTAAAAATATTAACTTTGCTCACCTCATACTGGGCTCGAACTTAGGCCCATTAACCCGCCTTAGCCCATTTCACATCATTTCTCTATATATATGGATTCAATTCACAAGTTAAGGTAAGTTCTAAATACTCTAGCCAAATCCCCCATCTCTCTACTATTTGCACTCTATATATCTATTTCTCGTTCGGCCGTTGACTTGACCGTCGGAGTGCAAACGGTCGCCGGACCTTTTTCTCGTCTGGCCGCCTTTGTCTCTTGACGGGGTGCTACATACGCAGGTTTCGAGGGGACGAAGCTAGGGTGCCTGTTGGAGCCATTTTTGGAGGTCAACAGATTGACGCCGTCTGTGGGAAACGCTACGTTAACCATGTTATTCCACATAAAAA